AAAACTAATTAAATATGCTCAGGATGCGAGGCAGAGCACTGCACTCTGAGTCAGCTAATAATGACCCAGAGAAGAGCATGTCTGATTGCATGCGGGTTGGTACCCAAGAGTCCCGCCTCTGGAAAAAAGGGTATCGGACGGGTCTGATGTTTGTTGAGTGGATGACACCAAACAAAAATCAGTACAATGTCCCTGTCATTGTCAGAGATCAGACCTCTACTCTTGCCTGTTGCATTTTAAACAAAAAAGGGGGAACTGTAGAGAGCTGCGAAGTGCTGCACCCTTAAGATGGTGCTGGCTTCTGCCTTTTGCTAGCCCGACAGCAGGTGCTCTCTGTGATAAACAACTCCTTATTTGGTCAAGGCTGGATATCAGGCTTGCTTCCTCGTATGTGGACCTATCTGCTGTCACCACATGGCTTACCAGGGTTGGCCGCCCAAGGGCCTTTTTAAGCTGTGGGCGGGCACTCCCTGGGGTCAGAAGATTTGTTCAAGGTCCTGAATAAACCGCTTGTGAGAAGGATTCCTGAGTCGAGTCTTCCTTGCTGGTCGAGGTGGTCGTGACAGTACACCCGTGTTCATGCAAGTAGTTCTGCTTTCCATGGTAGCCCTGGCTAAGGCAAACAAAAGAGATTTTATTCCAACCTTTACTAATGATATTAACTCTCAAATCACTTATTACACATCACACATTAAATAAATTTCTGTATCTGCATACACATACATGTATACCTGTGTGTATGTATTACAGAATTGCTGTAAAGGGTTAAGAGGCTGCTGCAGAAGTCAATAGGCTTCAGAATTCCTGAGAGCAGAGAAACTATGGTGACTGCAGGTCAGGCCACTTCCAGTCACCTGCTTGAAAGCAAAACTGAGTTTAGCTGCAGAAGCAAAGAGCAGGACAAGGATGAAGGAACCGGAGGACAGATGGATGGCAGGTCCAGGTGTGTGAGCACGAAGACAGACAGATGAGTGAGCATCATAGGACACATAGGACCTGATTTTATAAGGTGAGCCGTGTGAGCTGCAGGAGCAATGCTGTGATAGAGACAGACATGGGGCACCAAATATTGGCAGACAAAAATCAGGGGATCTAGGACAGATAAGAGAGGCTAAATGTTTCCTGATTGGATTCTTTTCCTTAAAGGAAGTGTTTACCTTTCCATCACTGATCCTTTGCAGTGATCTGCAAAAACCCAACAATGCTGAGTGAATCAGGCAATCAAATCTGGACATGACTTGTCCCCGATCCAGCTAAGGCCAGAGAAGAAAATGAAGGCCTTACCAGACACCAGTGCTGAGCAGATGGATAGGGATGGGCCCAGACTCCTAGAGGTATTTCTATTAAGTTCTAACTCCTAATGTAGAGAAGAAGTAGTGCTTCAAGTCCATGCTTCTTAATGATTAACAAATGTTTCACAATTATGTGTACTATGTTGGGGTGGGGTATATGATCACATGAGATCAGATTCTGAGGGATCAGAGGTGACGGATCCCCTGAATCAGCAGTATATAGGAAGTTGTGATACACCTGTTATGGATGGTGTGAACTGAACTCAGATATTCTAGAAGAGCAGAATGAGCTATTAACCACTGAAGCAGCTCTCCAGTATTTTACTCATGCCAAGCAGAACCCACACGTCAGAGGTTCATGTGTGGGCTCCTGGATTTATAGATCCAGTCCTGCAGGATGTTGTATCCCCAGGATGGGGCAATTCCCTGATGCCTTCCTGCTCCTCCTGTCTCATGACCCAGTATATGCAACTCCACCCAGCCGGCTCTGGGGGATGTGCTCAGTTCATTTTGTTTACTTGACCAGACTCAATGGTCATGGTGTAAACGTTTCGGGATGGGTCGGGACAGGATGGAACAGGAGTGGGTCATGTATTCTGGCACTCGGGAGTCACAGAATACTGAGTGTTACACAGCTCAGGTGGAAAGGTATCCTGGAGCTCGGGAGCCAAGGACCACCACAGGTTGCAGTAAGCTTGGCAGCTTACAGCCTTGCCTCAGAGAAAGGCTTCTCCGGTGTATCAGCTCAGCTCCGGCAGGTATCAGCTCAGATCCGGCAGAAGAGGGTCTTCCAGCTGGGGATGTTCGCCTAGTGTAGCAGTTTTGCTAGGCAGGAGGTTTCTTGGGCCGAAGTTGTTACAGTTCAGCTCTGCTCCTGGAGAGCAGAGAGCAGGGAGCCAGGAGCAGAGTGTAACAACTCCTCTCTGCCAATGAAGGTTTCCAGGGCAAGTGTTACAGTGCTGCTTACTCTGCTCTGCCCAGGGTCGCCTCTGCTCTGTCGCTGCCGCAAAAGAAGATCTTCACCCAAAGCTCATCCAAAGGGGCTTATTGGAAGGCAGCTGGACCAGCCAAGCTTAACATTCACAGGGTTTATATTGGGATTCCTGGGGTTGGGAAAGTTTTTCCAGAGTAGGGATTGGTCCGATTTCAGTGCTGAGCTCAGATTGGCTAGAGCTCTGCTCCAGGATTGGTTACTTTTTTACACAGGATTAGGGTCAGATTTGGCTCTGGTTTCAGGGCCAAAGTGTGTTTCTTTCTTTGGTCCTTTTTAGCCTTTTGGCTCCAATTTTAGGGCCAGGATACGTTTCTTTCACTGAATCTGATTCCAGGGACAAAGTGTGTTCCTTTGGCACTGGTTTTAGGGTCAGGGTATATTTCTTTGGTTGTGGTTGCAGGGCCAAAGTGTGTTTCTTTGGCTCTGCTCAGGGTGTGTTTCTTTGACTGGTCCCTTTTCCCTACACATGGAATGTACCAAAAAATATCATTATGTACTCTGCCTTGTTTGGAGGAACAGACATGGCATGGGAAAAAGAATTATTTAGGAACAACTTGAAACTTGTCCCCAATCTTCAGGGATCCTTGAGTATCTGTGTTCATTGGACTCTCTGGAGGCCACAGGTATAGTCTGCTAATCAGAATAGACAGTAGGATGCACAAATGGGAAGAACTCTTCAGCAAGAGGAGGCTAAGGATCATTTATTTTGCACACAAAGGCACTAGGAAGCAGTCACCATATTATAGGTTTTCATCTTCTAAGGATGCAATTCAAGGGCTAGGGAGTACCAGGCATGGCTCTGTGGTTTCAGAAGAAGCCTTCTGTGGCTGGTCACCAGTCATCCTGATGAGTATGGAAACCATCTTCCAAAGGACTCCCAGCTTTCTACAATACAAATTACATCATGATTTTCACCTGTTGAGAAAGGTCCATATGTTCTGCCCTCACTCTATTCTGTGCATCTCATTGCTGTTTGGTTGTGGTCTTGTTTAGTGTCCACATCCCCAGACACCACAGGTATCCAGGGCAATCATTTCCCCATCTGGCACATCTCCCACCATCTGAACTTACCTTCCTTGTCTGGTGTTTCTAACATAAACTTTCTCCTCCTTGATCTCCACTCTGACATCTGTCCTGCCTCTCCCCAGGCAAAGCTAGTCACCATTATTAGAAGTTAGTGGACACTGGTACAGAGCTCATGCTCACACACAGGCCTGTGTCTGTCAATTTATTTACATTTTACTCTCATTGGAGTACAGGCCTACCTGATGTGTTAGGTATTCAAATAAATGAGCCTTCCCACTCACTTCCTTATCTCTCTCCCTTTTCAGAACATCTGCGCTTATGGCAGAATCAAGCCTCTTAGGTTGTGGAGGGGAAGAGTGAGTTATCCGTGTTTATGACCATATGGACCTAAGTTATAGTGACTTGTGTCATTTTTGTCACTTTGTCTTTGCAGAGCAGAAGGCCACAGATCTTCTAACCCAGTATCCTGTTGCCAGAGGTTTCTCTCCCAGTCTGGTCCCACAGCTGTTTGGACCAAAATAAATACACAAAGGCTTCTATTAATTATTAAAATTGTTTGACCAATGGCTCAGGCTTCTTATTGGTTAGTTCTCTTTTAATTATTCACCCATTTCTATTAGTCTATGTATGTCCATGTGGTCTTTGCTTACTGGAGAATACCCAGGCATCCTATCTTCCTAGTAGTTACAGGGCATCTCACTGATGCCTCCTCTCTGCCTTCCTCTTCCTAGAATTCTCCTAATCTGATAGCCGCCTATATTTCCTACCTGTACTTGACCAATCAACATTTATTTATCAACCAATAAGAGAAACATATATTCACAGCAAACAGTATACCCCCATCATCTCCTCTTTTCTATCTAAGTAAAAAGCAACGTTTTAAATCTACCAGGTTAAAATTATGTATAACAAAACAGTTAAAAAGCAAGAACTTTAGTTAACAATATTTAGTTCATTAACATTTTTCAAAATTTAAGGAAAATATTCTATCATCTATCCTATCTTTGTCAGTGTAAAGTTTTATAGGGAACTTATTTTTCATCATAACTAAAGAAAACCATAACCATAACTGTCTTCAATTCCATCAAAGACCTCAGAAGAGTAATATATAAACTCTGAAATTGACAGAGACATCTTGCTGCCCAGACAGTTACCCAAAATGTTTACATAATATTGTAGGAAGTTGTCACCCATCTGCTATGGATGCTAGGAACTGAATTCAGATCCTCTGGAAGAGTAGAATATGCTATTTATCACCCAACCAGCTCTCCAGCCTCTTAACTCATGCTAAGAACCTGTATCCCAGAGGTCATGTGTGGGCTTCAGGAGATAGAGTTCTAGTCCTGCAGGATGTTGTATTGCCTCAGAGTGGGGAATTCCCCTTCCTGCTCCTTCTGCATTATGACCCAGTAAATGCAGCTCCAGCAGGACTTGCTATGTGGGGTTTGCTCAATTCATTTTGTTTGTGTGAACAGAATTGTGTTCACAGGATGCACCAGAAACTATTGTTATGGCCTCACCCATGTTTGGAGGAACAGACAAGTATGGGAAGAGGGATTTTTTTATGAGCAACTTGTCCCCAGTCTGTAGTGATCCTGGGGACTAAGAATTCATGGGACTCTCTGGAGGCTACACGGATGGCTCTGCTGATCAGAATAGTCAATAAGATGCACAAATGGGAAAAACTCTTCAGCAAGACAATGGTAAGAATCATTTATTTCTGACACAAAGACACTAGGAAGCAGTCACCACATGATAGGTTTTCATCTTCTAAGGATATAGTTCTAGGACTAGAAAGAATCAGTCATGGGCTCCGTGGATTCAGAAGAAATCTTCTGAGACGGCAATCAGTCATCCTGATATTAGTTGGATCCATAAACCAAAGGGTTGTCAGTTGTCTACAATACAAATGACATCATGATTTTCATCTGTTTAGAAGGGTTCAGATGTTAAGCCCTCAGTCCATACTAGTCACCTCATTGCTTTTTGGATGTAGCTGCATGTTATAGTGTTCCTTGTTTTTTCACCCCCACGGCTCAATAATGAAGCTAATCCAGGCAACTATTTTTACATTTCACAAAGAGGGATGGCACACACATCTTCAACCATCTGAACTTACCTTCCTTTCTTGATGTGTTTTATGTATCCTAAATTATGTTTTCTCCTAGTTGATCTCCACTCTAGCACCTCCCTCCTGCCCCAGGCAAAGCTAATCACCTTTAACAGAACTTAGTAGACTGGTGTAGAACTCCTCTGACACACAGGCCTGGTTGTCCAGTCTAGGTGCATTTGCCCTTTTCTCTCATTCCAGTATAGGCCTGCCTGATGTGTAAGGTATTCAAATGAATGAATGTTCCCACTCACTTCATTATCCTTCTCCCTCCCTGGAGCACCTCATCTCCTGGGAGAGTCAGACCTCTTAGGCTGGGGATGGGAAGAAGAGTGAGACATCCCAGTCTATGGCCATGTGGAACTAAGTCACAGTGACTTGTGTCACTTTACTCATTATGGGAATGTCTTTGGAGAGATGAGGGCCAGATTATGTAATCCAGTGTCCTGGTGCCATGTACTTCCAGCTCCTCTCTGTTGGATACATCCATACTCTTGTGTGTGCAGTCAGTGGGCAGAGCAACATGAGAGTGTCCAGGCTAATTCCCATGGACACTCATTTTCTCCGTTGGACATACCTTGACGTGATGTGGTGATCTGAAGGACAATGACCCTAATGGACTTACATATTTTCATACTTGGTTCCCAGTAGTTGGGGCATTTTTGGAAGGATTTGAACTGATATCTGGTGGGCCAATCTCCAGCAGCACAGGAATCTAATGGAGTCGGCATAAAATAAATTTTCTTTTTTTATCTGAGGGGCTAAGGAAAAAGGAGCAAGCCCATGCTTGATGGTATCACTCTTCATTCCCTCATATGGAATTCTTCCTTAAGTTTCTCCCATGATGTTTCTTTGGTACTTTGTTTGCATCTCATTCTATCTCTCATTCTGTCTGCATCTTTACTCTTGATGTTCCCCTGCTAATTCTCTCACACACGATGTTATCCTTATCTCATGATGTTTCTCTTGTGATGTTCCCCTTAAATCTGCCCAGGTGTCTTTGTCCTTCGCAGCTTATGAATACCCACAAATCTTTCATTTATTATATCTGTAAGTCATATACCATTTCTTAAACAAATGTAAGAAACAATCATTCCAACAGCTCACCAGCAATAAATCCAGATTTCTTGCACAGAGCAAGAAAAGAACACTTTCTTTCAGCCAACTCCCTAATTAGTGGGCTGTAATCACAACTGCAAAAGGAGAAGTCTTTCTGTCATCTACCTATAGAGGTAGTCATGTAAAACTGAACTGTTTAGGACTTTAAGATCCAGAAGGAAATTGTGTGTTGCATCCTATACTTTTAAGTGTATAAACCTTTAAGGATTTTATAGATAGTGGTCCTAAAAGTTGAACTTTCTGTGACTGGAGACTGTTGTTAACAAACAACAATGTGCTGTCAAGGAGAGTGCAGAGCCTGGGTAAGAAACCCTTGTCAGCTAGTGAGCTTCAGGTGGGGCTGGATAAGGGGCAGAAGCACAGAGGTCAACTATACTGAGCACTCTCTGAGGCACAGTGACATTAAAATACTTTCAAATCTTAAAATATATTGTTCTGTCCTGTGTATAACCCTTGATGGTAAGAAGGGAGACTTGTAACTCTATTTCAGGCCTATAAAGGTAGTTTATACTTTGTAGCTGTGACTAGTTAGGGAATTTTTTCTTGTGGTGTCTAAAAAAAGGTCCTAGTAGCTGTAGAGGTAGCTCAGTGTTTAAGAGCACTGACTGATTTTCTAGAGGACCGGAATTCAATTCCCAGCACCCACATGGCAGCTCGAATCTGTCTGTATCTCCAGTTCCAACAGATCTGGCATCCTCACACAGACATATATGCAGGCAAAACATCAATGCACATAAAATAAAAATATAAAAAAATCAAAGGCCCTTAAACCGAGGCAAAAAATTGTAGAGAGTTGATCTTTGTCATTTGGCACCACAATTAATTTGCTTCTCGATGTTTACCTGGCTCACCAAATCTGACAGCAGGCTACATATCCTGTAAATAAGAATGTATTTTTCTGTGAATAGTTTATTTTGAAATTTTATATCAGTTGATACTATATGGCTGTCTTGGTATCTGGGGAAAAGACAGATGTTTTCTTAAGCTGTGCTCTAAGATAGCTCTTAATGGAAATCCATAATTCTTGGTCTGGGTAGTATCTTTTTGCATTTATTTATCAAACCCCTACATGTACTAACGTTATTAATATCAACTGGACAATAGAGTTAAGAATGAGCCACCTTCTTAAAAATTCCACAGATAAGGATGCAAATTAGATCAGGATTGCAAACACCTTAGAAAACATGCTTTGGGATATTCTGCACAGCCACTGGAGAAATAATGCAAATGAGAATATGCTTAATTATAGGCAGAAGTAAAAAGATATTCTGGAATAGGTATTTCTCACAAGATTTGCAAATATGAGTTGCCATCTATCAGAAATTATTTCCTGGTGGGTTGATGACTTGAATATTAATTTCTAGTTCCTGTAATAATAGCCTCCAGCAGATTAAGAGGTGTGGCCTTGCTGGAGGAGATGTGTCACTGGGGACAGGCTTGGACGTTTCAAAGTCCCACACTGTTCCCAGTTAGCTTGTTCTCTGCTTCATGATTGTGCGTCAAGATATGAACTTTCAACTGCAGCACTGTGCCTGTCTGCCTGCCGACATGTTCCCTACCATGATGGTCATGGATTCACTCTCTGAAATTGTAAGCTCTGAATAAAGTTTTTCTTCTATTGGTTGCCTTATTGTGGGGTCACAACAATAGGAAAGTAAGACATGGGACTCTACTCACCTCAAAGACAGGAGACGTGCATTTACGGGAACATCCAAGCTTACAGCACTTCTGTTCCATGGGGCACCATTTATCTTCTGAGCACTGTATAAGAATAGGTACAGTACATTTTGTGGGATTCTTGGGACAGGCTCCGGGTTTTTGTGATCCTGAAATATACAATGGTGTTTACTGTGCCTGAAGCATTCAGAAAGACAAGGTTGAGAATAGATGCTTGAATTTTGAAAGGCTGGTCACCTGCAGGAAACTAGATTATCCCATATTCTCCTTTGTACCTGGGGTTTTTCCCTGTTTCCCCAGCTCCAGTCTCTCTCTTAGGCATGAGTGTTACCTGGCCATGGGAGAGTGTTCTCCTTCTCCACAGCCTGTATAGTCTCAGAGAAATAGTCATCCATCATCCCAGCCCTCTCCTACACATCTGAGAAGATGTTATTAACCCTCTATGAGGCTAAGGTGAGGGAGCCCAACTCCAGAGAGTTCCTCTTGTAGAGCCAAACTAGCCTGCCGACTTCAAGTTAGGAACTGACAGAGCAGAAAACTTAGTGGGCCAGAGGCACCCATTGCCACAGCGTGCCTACCCACCCACACCACTCATGAACGCTCATAGCTGTCAGCCACTCCCCAGACTTTCCTCCATGTAAGAATTTTGGTCCCAACACCGATAGAATGGGTTGTGTCCTTCCCTTTCAGCTAGCTGCACATGGTGCAGACTGGAAGTGAAGTCTGAAAGGAACTAGAGCTGCTATGTACATCTCTGAACAATGAGTCCAGTGACCCCCCACCTCAAGGTGCATCTCCAAAGTTGATGAGTTGCCTGGATCTCTCCCTGAGCTTCAGTGGCACAACTGTCTGTCTGCCTGTCAGCTTCTCTCTCTCTCTCTCTCTCTCTCTCTCTCTCTCTCTCTCTCTCTCTCTCTCTGTGTGTGTGTGTGTGTGTCTCTGTCTCTGTCTCTTGATAAGAAACCCAGAGTTATCACTCTTATAGGCTCAAAAAAGCGAGTTTAATCCAAGCCCTCAGCACATGGTTTCCCCTACTTACTGTGAATCTTCTCTGCTTCCAGCTTTTATCCACTTAATATACTTACCTCCTGGAGCAAATCTCAGAGCACTCACTGAGTCCTTCCCTATGGCAATCAAAGTCACCAGAACCAAGACTGTGGCTGTCTTCATGTTGGCTCTGGCTGGGCTGAATGCAGGAATCAATTTATAGCCTCCCAGTTTCCAGAATCCTGGATGTGATTTGAGACAGTCAATGGGGAAGTCTATGAAAACAATAAATAGCTCTCCATAAAGTTCTTGCAGATAGCTGACTCCTTTTTGTATTTCACATTTGGCTTCTGGATAATTATTGTTTGCTAGATGCAAATAACCAGACAAAAGTCAAGAACACAGATTTGTACTGTGTTCTTCCTTACTACACTACTTGTCCCTTGTACTAGTTATGAGCCAAGGAAATAGTTGTTCCTGTGTCCTTCAGCATGTCAGAGTGAGAACTCCAGCAGAGAAGGATATTGCAAATGGTTTGGGCCCATCTAGAGCTTCCTGGTTATCCAGTTATGTAATTGTGTGGCATGCCTCTGTGATATATGGTGGTTGTGTCATTTCTAGTCTATAGATGAGATGATACCTTAATAGGTGTAGAATCTGGGCACCTCTTTCTTGAAGATGTAGGCAATGAAGTCTCTTCCAGAAGAGATGAATACTCAAAGATTTCCAACTATCAAGACCCAGTTGAGAGTAAGGATGCATGCTGTAGAATAATCTGTTCATACTCTTTGATGATGTGTGTTCGCCAAAGCATTTTCTGATTGTTTTAATAAAGAGCTGAATGGTCAATAGCTAGGTAGGATTTCAATGCACTGAGGATGCTGGTGAGAAGAAGGTCAGAATCTTGAGGAGATGCCAGAGACTCAGAACAAGCAGCATGGTCTTTCCAAAGTAAAGGTAATTGAGCCAAGTAAAAGAACATAGGTGAAAATATATGGTCTAATTTAACTTATAAGAGCTAGTTAGAAAGAAACCTAAGCTCTGAGCCAAGTATTCCTAATCAATACGAAGTCTGTTTGCAGTTATTTGTGAGTCGAGTAGGCAGGACAGAAAAATGTAACTACAAATGGTGCCCAGCATGGGACCACATACTGAGAAAGCTTTAGCAAAACAGAAAAACACAACCAAACAAGGCTTCTTAGTCTTTTGTGTCTCATGCCGGCCACCATACAGAGACATGTACTCCCAGCAGCTGCCTAGGTGCTTGAACTGCCAGTGCACCATGAGCTGAGCTGAGTGCAGGTTGAAGTTTTTGATCATGAAGAGAGAAAGAATAGAGATAAATAATAATGCAGATTTAGTGAAAAACCTCTCTAAATAGGTTATAGTTTGTTTAACAATGTGTGTAGGGATTAAAAATGGGTACAGAAAAAATTAAGTTTAAAAATAATAAAGTCCTTAAGGAGAGAAGTAAATAAAAGAATAAACCACATAGAGACGGAAAATATACAGGGAATCTAAATCCTGTATGGTGCTGTGGAGTTTCAGTTCTTTGATTGCCGATGAATGAGTGATAGCTGCTGAGAGACATTGGCTTATGGAGCTTGGTGGATTAAACTAACCTACGTACTTTAAAAGTGTCTTTGCTTCAAAACAGAAGTCTAAAGGTGTATTGCTTTGAAGAAGTGGTTATGAATTTTTTTCACACCAAAAAGGAAGGGCCATGGATTTTTTCAGGGTTGAATAAGACAAGGTTTGATAGGGCAGATGCCCTGAAAATCCTGGATACAGATATAAAGAAATAAACCTAAAAATAAAAACAAAACTACAAGACAGTTGCCATATATTTTACCTGCTCCAACCAAAACCCAAAAATCATCTTTAACTGACTTGTGCCCATCAAACATTCCATATTTGTGTTCATACAGATATGTATGTTATCTTTACAAATTTGTGTTTTCAGAACAAGGGGATCAAACACAAAAAGGGATGGCCTCTCAGAAGGCCACTGTTACAGTTTCCTCAGAGTTCTGCATCCAGAACAGCTTTAGGATGCTGCCTGAGATGACCCAGCCTCACAGACTGCTCGAGTCAACTCTTCACAGGAGCCCTACATTTTCCCATCACAGAGACTAGACAGTAGCTAGCTCCTCCAGGATTTGATTATTATCCCAAACATGACACCCACATTCCCATGAGGCAGGGTGAATGACTTGTGGTCATTCATTGGGTTATAGATGTTTGTCATAATTTGCGGGGTGATTGGTTACACGTTTTTATTGGTCATGGTCAGGAAAAGGCTAAAAAATGAGTTAGATTCAAGGGTCTCTTTCTGAAGAAAAGGGGAGGATACATTATAAAAAAGATGAGATAAAAGGGTGGATTTTTAGTCTACTTTTAAACAACTACTGGTCTCAAATATTTTACATTGGTATGGATTTTTGTATATTGATACTAATTTAAGGTCATTTTGTTAGAATATACTGTACACACATTTCTTCTATTATTTCAAGTATGGTATCTATGCAGCTCATTCAACAATGAAATGTAAATTTCTAGTACTTGAATGTTATTACTACAAACTAGGATAATAGAGAAATGCAGGATAGTAGTCACCTATAACAATCAAACTTGTAGCCATGATAGGTATGTTTTCAAGGTGAAACAGAGATATATTTTAGATAGAAGGGTGATCTCCTAAGACTTCAAAGACCTACATAATATGACATTTAAAATGTTTTAAAAACAAGGATTTTCTTGACAATGAGACAAGTCTGCTCCTGGGAGGATTAATTTACTTCAAAAATGAATGATGGCCATGGAAGAACCTCCTTTTTATGGCAAAAGCTAGCCGTTAGAAAAAGAAACTCTCTTTGCCTTGACTGCTGATACTATGCTGTCCAAACTGGGTCAGCAGGACACAGAGAAATGGGACCCCCAAATTTGCCAAGACACGGTAGCAAGTCCTTCAAAAATTCTGCTTCACAGAAAAGTCTGTCAGATATTTTAAGTTTGTAGGATGAAGATAGATGCCCCAACATTACAGAGGAATTTTGGTTGACTGTTCAGGCAGCCAGCTGCTCATCTCATTGCTTTTAGATTTGGAAAATGCTTGCTCTGTAGTTCACGTATACTCAAGCAATATTTTTCCCCTTGGGTCTTTGTTGGAGTAGAAGACTAGGTAGTTATAGTTAGTTTTCCTTCATTGTGATAAAATGCAAAATATTTACAGACTTGTCAAGATAAAACAGATAATGGGGTATTTTCTCTACACATGCCAAATACAAATAAACTAGACTTGTCAATATAATCCTTACTTGACAAATGTTATTATTATTTATAGTTTTGTTGTGTTAGATTTAAAAACTTTTCACTTTTATGTAGACAAAAAGGAGGAAATGTGGAATAATAACCTTTTGTGCACTATGAAGATATATTTTTGTCAAAGTACCTTCTGATTGGTTTACTAAACAGCTGAGTGGCCAATATCTAGATAGGATTTCCAGCACAAAGAGGTCTGGGGAGAAGGGCAGAGACCTGAGCAGATGCCAGGGACTCAGACCAAGCAGCATAGGTAATCGAGCCCTGTGAAAGAACATAGATGAAATGATACTGGTTAATTTAAGTTATAAGAACTAGTTAGAAAGAAGCCTGAGCTATCGGCCAAGGTTTCCTTAATTAATAAGAAGTCTTAATGTGGTCATTCGGGAGCTGGCTAGGTGGGATAGAAAAGCCTGCCTCCAGAGTTAGGCTCCCTTAGTATGATTGTTCTTCTTAGATCAATGTTTTTCAGGTCTTTAGGAAAAAGTCTGCACAGGTGAGCAGAGAAGGGATGAGAACCAGGACAGCATGCACTGTCCTTAGTTCCAGGTGGAAAGCCTGGCTCCTTTGTGGTTCCAGTTACAGACTCTCAGAAAGAGCTGTGGTGGGAAAATGCAAACAGCTGTGGGAATGCTCCAGATGTGGTGTGACTGACCTTTGAGTTACTCTATCTTTGTAGGGTTACTTCTCGGGAACTGAGGGGGTGTGTTTGATCACATACTTTGATCCATGTATTCCCAGTCCTTCCTTGAAACTGCGGGGCCTATTCCTTCCCCCCCTCTATTGTATGCATAATATGTAGAAACATAGTCAAATCTATGTATGCTTGTATGTAGTCGCATAATTTATGGAAATGAACATAATTTTTTGTTTTGTTTAGTTTTTTTAATTTTGTTTTTGTGACAGGGTTTATCTTTATAACACTGACTGTTCTGAAACTTGCTCTGTAGATCAGGCTGTCCTCAAACTCAGTGATCCACCTTCCTTTGCATTCACAGAGCCAGGATTGAAGGTACCTGCCACCACCACTTTGCTTAATTATACAAGTTTTAAGGGATGAAACTGGTCAGGCAGTTCTGCTTTCAAGGGAATCATGTCAAGGCAAACACACAGGTTTTTATTCTAACCTTAGTTAATGATGTCAACTCTCATATCACTAATTACACAACACACATGAAATAAATCTCTCTATATACACACATATATGTGTATACACATGTACTACATACATACACATTAACGTGTCACAGAATTGCTGTAAAGGATTAATAGGGCACTGCAAATGTCAAGAGATTTCAGAATTCCTGAGGAGTAGAGAAGCAGAGGAATCTAAGTAGAATCTAGATTGCTAAGACAATGAAGTAGCATAGAAAGGAGAAGCTGGAGAAACTATGGTGACTGCAGGTCAGGCCACTTCAGGTCACCTGCATGAAAGCAAAGTTGAGTTTACCTGCAGGATCAAAGTGCAGAACCAGGTCTGGATGAAGGAAATGGAGGACAGATGGATGGCAGGTCCTGGTGGGTGAGCAAGAAGACAGACAGATGAGGGAACTGCATGGAAGGAGACATAGGACATATTGTTATTAGGTGAGCCATGTGAGGTACAGGAGCAGTGTTGTGATAGAGACAGACATGGGACACCCAACTTTGGCAGGAAAAATCTGGGGATCTAGGACAGATAAGAGAGGCTAAAGATTTCTTGATTAGATTCTATCCCCAAAGGAAGGGTTTTCCTTTTCATTTATATCCTTTGCAGTTATCTCGATTAAACTCAACGAAGCCTAGAGAACCAGGTAACCAAACCTACACCTGGCTTGTCCCCCATACAGGTAAGACCTGTGGAGGAGCAGAAGCACTTCATACACCAGTGCTGAGCTGGATGGATAGGGATTGGCCCAGACTTCTACAGGTATTTTAAGTTCTAACTCATAATGTAGAGAAGAACTGGTGATTTTATGACATGCTTCTTAATGATTTAAAAATCATTTATTATGTGTAGAATGTGGGGTGGGGTGGGAGGGATATACATGCACATGAGAGCAGATGTGTAAGGGGGTTAGGGATGTCAGATCCCTCTTGAGTTGGAGTTATATAGAGTTGTTATCCACCTGCTGGCTACTGATTTCCAGTTCTGTGGAAGAGCAGATTGTGCTATTAACCACTGAGCCAGCTCCCCAGCCTCTTAACTAATGGTAAGAAGAA